GAGGGGAACAGAAAACTAATGTTAAAGTTTTAGAGATGAAAGGATTCTCATGGTTTGTTTTTTAACTCTTTTGGTACTTAAGGACAGTACAGTTCTAAATTGGTGCACAGCTCAATAGCCAAAGATTTTTTAACCCTAAGACTAAATCTAGTCACTTCTAATTCTAACAAATGCTGATAGATCAGCCTGTCTACAGTGGCCTGTTCCCAAAAAGTAAAAACTCCAGTGGTTCTCTAATGGCCTGTGTTGTGTTTAATAAGCCAGGATATGAATATAGTAACTACAAATAGCATTGGGGGAGGGGGGAAGCCCTATGGTTCCAGTGGCTGTTTAAAGCCTTGAGAGCTGAGCTCTTGAGAGCTGTCAGCTTAGCTGTATGGCAACCGCTGATCTGGGCAGATGGTCATTGTGTTGAGAGAGGACCAAACCATTTGGGATAAACATGAAGTCAATCCTTTCTCTTTTTATGAGTTGATTTGTTAGTTAGTTTGAAAACAACTATACAATCATTAGATTATTGCTGCAGTTCATAAATGGTTTATCTTCAGCTATAAATATTTATAGTGTGCGTGTAACGCAAACTGGACTACTCCATAAACCAGCCAGATTTGATTGTGTTTTTTTTTTTTTTTTTTTTGCTGATAGAACATGTTTGATCGATCTGAGCATATTTTTGCTAATGTATAATAGTGTTTCTTAACTTTTTAAACACTTGACAAATCGACACCTTTGTGTGAAATGTTTCATTTGATGTGAGTGCTGCCAGACATTTTATGTTTTCTCATGGCCACCTGACACACACACACACACACAGACGTCAGAGCCTGGTGAATCTGTAAATATGTACATAGCTGTAGACCTAGTCTAGCCACACTCGATTCCTGGGTTTCTCTAGAACTTATGCACTCTGATAATCATCTCTGCACAGGAGTGAAAGTGTCTGCTGCTGGCTGTGATGGACTGCCTGGCTGACGTCCCATAGAAACATCACAAATACTCTATTTTTTCATGTATGAGGCAATGTTTTCCCATATTTGAAATTAGGACCAGTTTCATGAAACCCTTATTAGATACCTTTTATTTCTTTCAGGCTTTCAACCAACAGTTTGCATACAAATATTCCAGATCTGTAAAAGTGATTTGAACACAGAACTCAAATTCTGGAACAAGAGCAAAGTTGAGAAGTGGAGGAACAGCCAGAACTTTCCCACTAGTGTTTACTGCCAATGAACATAAGAAGTAGATACTTTCTACAGCATGTGGGTTAGCTGTTCTGTTTTTCTCCTAAACTGATGTCCCACAACCCATACAAGATATTAGGATTCAAGACAGAATAAGATTAAAAAAACTTTTGTTGTTTTTTTTTTTCACGTATAAGGCGATCCTTACCTTTGTTAGCCCAAAATGAAGAGACAAATTTGTTAAACATAATCTGCATAAAAGATGACCCTCGCCTGGCTCTCTAGCGAAGTTGGCTAAACCGGATTGCGCGGAGACCAGGTGACGAACTCCTTGTTGTCCGGGTTCACTCCCGGGGGTAGGCAAGAAAGCCACATTTCTCCAAGATTTACGGTATTTACAATGGAATCCAGGTCGAAAGGTTGCGATATCCATAATACCGAGCCTAAGGGTTAACAACTCATGGCTTTTGGATACTAAAACAAACATAAGATGACCCTCCAATTTTAAAATTTACAAATTTGGGAAAACATGTCTTATATATAGGAAAAATATGGTAAATAGTGTGATTTTTGCTAATTAATTTTTTTTATGATTCTTGTCATCTATGATGTCCACCAGTGCGTTTAACTTGTTTTGTGGCAAATGTTGCTGATGTGCAAAAATAAAATCTCGAACTGGCACAGTTTGTGGCAACAGCACTGGCCATGCAGCCCTAAATTCTCAGGCAAAAAGACTTCCCTTTCCTTATACTGCAGAAGTGGTAAATACAGGCAGTAAGTGGCAGTGGCTGTTCAATCACATTAAAGTGTCTTTTACAGTAGCGCTGAAAAAAGGTGCCGGTGCTATTATGTACCGTTGAGTGTCGCCAAGAAAAAAAATCCCTGGTGATCACTGACCTCAACTTCAGACGGGCAGGTTTGTCTGTGTCTACTGCAGCCGTGACGTGTCCGCCTGTCATCGACTTGACCACTGTAATAATTTGTTTGTATTTATTTATTTGTTTCAGCTTAATTTCTGCACATGTATTTATTACCTCCACGTGTACATAGTAGCGTCCAGGCACAAAGCTTTATCTCTGCAGGTGTAGCAGTGTTAAAACAAGGGCCTCATTTGTCGTGTCTTAAGACCAGGCCATGATGTTTTCAGAGACTGCAACCGTGATATTTTGTCGTCTTTAGAGTATATGTACACCAGCAGTTCTGTGGGGTTTTTGTTTGTTTTTGTACTGTGTGACCCATATGTTTTGACACGTAGGAACAATAAAAAACTCCATCTGTGCTTATACGTGTTTCTCAGCAGTGGAGTACACACATCAAAATTTCTTTTCAAAACAATAGAGATGTTTATATTTTCTATGTATGGGGAAACTTATGGCACGCCAGTATCATAGTGTTCACTAGCAATTGAGCAAGACATGGTATAACTGTTTCTTATATTTTGGGAATCCAGGAAAATAAACTTTTTGATGAGTAACTAGCCCACAGTGCTGTAACTCTGATGTTTAAGGGGTGTGGGGATGTGTGTAAAGGTATTTACAGAGGGTAGGGGATCAGTAAAAAAAAGTGATTTATGGGTGAGGAGCTGTGTAAAAGTATTTACAAAGAATAGGAACCTGTGTAAAGGTGTTTAAGGGTGGAAAGCTGAATAACGGTGTTTAAGGATGAAAATCTGTCTAAGAGTGGGAAGCTGTGTGAGGGTATTCATGGATGGGAAGCCTTTATTAAGGATGGGGAATCTGTGTAAAGGTGTTTAAGGGTGGGAAGCTGTATAAAAGTGTTCAAGGATGGGAATCTGTGTAAAGGTGTTTATGGATGGGAATCTGTGTAAAGGTGTTTATGGATGGGAATCTGTGTAAAGGTGTTTATGGATGGGAATCTGTGTAAATGTGTTTAAGGGTGGGAAGCTGTATAAAAGTGTTCAAGGATGGGAATCTGTGTAAAGGTGTTTATGGATGGGAATCTGTGTAAAGGTGTTTAAGGGTGGGAAGCTGTATAAAAGTGTTCAAGGATGGGAATCTGTGTAAAGGTGTTTATGGATGGGAAGCTGTGTAAAGGTGTTTATGGATGGGAATCTGTGTAAAGGTGTTTATGGATGGGAATCTGTGTAAAGGTGTTTATGAATGGAAATCTGTGTAAAGGTGTTTATGGATGGGATGCTGTGTAAAGGTGTTTACAGGTGGTGAGAGAAAGGATGGCTTGTAGTGAGTCCCCACATAGATTGTCTTGTCAGCTGAGTGACAGCTAGGTGCGTGGTCTGTCAGCCTATCTGTGTTATGAATCCACATTTTCCTAGCTTTGTTTTTCTATAACCGAGATAACTGTGGCAATGTGTGGGAGTTTTTGCTTTTCCCTACACAACACTGCAGTTAATAGTTCCAACTGTTTTTGACATTTTTTTTATTTATTTATTTGAGAAAGTGTTTTGCTGTTGAGTTGTTTATGATTTTCATTAAATTCTTTCATTCTTAGATTCATGACACCATATGTTTGTTTCTCAGTGTGTTGCCATCATAAATTTGTTTTGGTTTCAGTGTGTTTCCACTGTATGTTTGTTTCTGCTTCAGTGTGTTTCTGCTGTATGTTGGTTTCTGCTTCAGTGTGTTTCCACTGTATGTTGGTTTCTGCTTCAGTGTGTTTCCACTGTATGTTGGTTTCTGCTTCAGTGTGTTTCCACCATATATTTATTTCTACTTCAATGTGTTTCCACTGTGTGTTTGGTTTTTGCTTCAGTGTGCTTCCACCATATTTTTGTTTCTGTTTCAGTGTGTGTCAACCAAATATTTCAAACATTTTACATAACATAACCTAACACCCCCCCCCCCCCCCCCCATGTGGGTTCCGGGGCCCTATTGTAGGGAAAACAAGAATAGACCCACTGCCTACCCAAAAGCATGTCGTAAGAGTCGACTGATTGGGAGCTTCCTTCGAAGTCGGAGTGCATCTGCCTGAGAGGCAAGGAACCAACAGTCTGCAAACAGATGTGTCAGATCTGTCAAACGGATGCACACGCAACACTCAGGTTCTGTAGCAGGGCTGCAGTTCAGAAGTGGACGAACAACCAGAACTTTCCTTCCACCAGAGTTTACAGCTGGTGATAACCTAACCCTTGACCTGTTAGGGAGACACTGAAAAGTACTTTATATGAAGCAAACAAAAGGGCCCGTTCCAGAGATCTCTTCCTGTCCTGTCGCTACAAGCTATTCCAGGAGTGGAGAGAAGAGGACTAAGAAAAGAGTACATGACAGAAATCGTTGAAGAAGATGTGCCACTTCTTTTCATCGTCTTCTTCTGCCCTTTATCCCCCAATGGAGCATAGGCCCTCAACCAACTCACGCCAAGTCATCCTACCCTTTGCATACAGTTCACCCCATGCTCCCTTCTCTGTGTTTTCTCTTCCTGCCTTTATTTCGATGCCCCTGTGAGTTCCAGTGTACAAAAAAATGCTAGTTGTTCTCGAGTTTTTCTCATCGTGTCCTGTCCATCATCCCTTCTTTACCTTGATTGAAGTGCTACTGCATTTGATATTTTTTTTTTTTTTTTTTTAAACAGTTCAAAAACAAGGGTTTTGTTTACAAAAAGTTCTGCTCTGCTTTCAAAACTGTGCTGAGCTTCTTCAGACTCCGACTTGAGTTAGAAGAAGAACAGAGCACTTATGGGTTATTACCCATGATGTTGATCCGTTGTTCAAACCTCAAATACTTGAAGTAGAAGTTTTCGAAGCAAACGTTTTTGTATACAAGACTTAGTTTTGCTTTGAAAACTCTCATTCGAAATATAAAGCCCACCAGTAAGGCTGGATCGTCACATTATTTGACAACTTTATTTACAATATCGATCAGCTTTCATCTTCTCTCGCCTGTCCAACATCACTTCATGGAGGTCACCCTCTTTCTTTGCTTTCTTCAGTTCTGTTTTGTCAACTTCGCTGACCCGGAGTCTTCGGTCTTGAAAACTCTGGAACTTCTTCCTGTGTGATGATACCACAAAAGTATGTCACAATAAAGCAGTTCAAATTTAAGATTTATGCACATTAGAAAATGAGTATGTGTACACAGTAAAAAGGTGGCGAAGTGGTCAAGCCGTTTGACTGCACTGTGAAGGTCGTGTGCTCATTTCACGGCCGCACCCTTTAGTTCACGAGTGCAGTTTTTAACGGAGATCCCTGGAGATGGTCACCGGAGTTACGGCGTTCGTGCTCTTAGCAGGCGGCCAGCTGTCCTGCGGACAGAGACCAAGCCCAATGGATCAAAACCCGGTGCAATGAAGTAAATCCTCTCAAATTTAACCTTGACTTTTTAACTTTAACATAGAAAATGTGACCCAGTAAGAACATCACTTCTTCTTCTTCCTAACGTTCGTTTGTTTGTTTTAGTATCCAGAAGCCATGAGTTGTTAACCCTTAGGCTCGGTATTATGGATATCGCAACCTTTCAGCCTTGATTCCATTGTAAATACCGTAAATCTGGGAGAAAATGTGGCTTTCCTGCCTACCCCTGGGATTAAACCCGGACCACAAGGAATTCGCGCAATCCGGTTTAGCCAACTACGCTAGAGAGCCGGGCGTTCCTTCCTAACGTTCACTTGGTGTAAAACTCCAGCGGAAAGTTCTGGTTGTCTGTGTATTTCTAGACTCTGTTCTTGTTTCAGAACCTGAGCTGTGCGTGCACACCCATTTTGCAGACATGGCTTATCTGTGTGCAGACTGTTGGTTCCTCACCTCTCAGGCAAGTGCGCTTCGACTTCAAAGAAAACACATTTCATTAGTCGACTTCTACAACATGCTTGTAGGAGGTAAAAGGTCTGCACGAACAAGAAGAATCATAACACCAATTCACAAGACAAATACACAAATTCACAAGACAAATACACAAATTCACAAGGAAGATCTCAACCTACATTTCAACATTCAACACCATCAAGAACCTTATCAAGGAGTTATGTAAACAGACAAAAAAAAACTACTGAAGATAAGAAATTCTTTTTACACCATAAGATATATCACCAGGGCGTTTTTCTAGAAAGAAAAGGTGTCGGCACTCACCACAAGGTGTCTTTAAAAAAAGGTGCCGGTTTGCAGCATAACGTGCTTATTACAATACTGTTGAAAAAAAGGGATGGCATACCATCAGGGAAAAACCCTTCAAATTCCGCTAGACATCCATATTTGTATAGACTGTCATCACTCAGTAGGGGATGTCGTGAACAGCATGCCAGTCTCCTTTACTTCCCTGTACACTTCCTGGTACTCAATTTAGGTTGAGTCGACCTAGGAGCACTAGTTCAGTTATAAAAATTCACGTCCATATCAGTTTAAACCCAAAATATTCAGGCCGGTAGGTGAGTGTCTAACTATTAAGCAGGACACATCTTCTTGACTGCCTTTTTTATACCAATTCAGAAGTCGAGGGATGTTTTGTTTCTTGCTCTTCTGATTGCCAGGTCCGTAGACACTTCAGCTATTGTAGAGTTTCCCTGATGTTATCGGTCTACTTTGTGCTCTAAATCCTTTTCTTTTCATGTATGCCTTAAATGGTATGGTGTCACACATCAGTCTCTGTAAGTAGGCAAACTATCTGAACTGCTGTCTTTGTATGTAATTCAGAATTGCTTCTGTTCTCTTATGACATCATTTCTGATTTCATCTCTTCTCCACTGCAGCCTTTCTCAGACGTCTTATTTCCACGGCTACTAACTTTCCTTTCGGATCTGTTGGGGGTGGCCATGTTTGGCACTGGTAGTACACAGTACAGGATCCTCTTCTACGCTTTCAGGCGTGTTGGGCACACAGTGTTAGACCTATATTTTAAAGACCAATCAGTACTTGGTGGGTGATATGGTCAGCATCATGCTGTTAACATAAGTTAACATCTCTTACACATAAGTTAACATAACTTACACATAAGTCAACATCACTTACACATAAGTTAACAGCACTTACAGATAAGTCAACAGCATTTACACATAAATTAACATCACTTACACATAAGTCAACATCACTTACACATAAGTCAACATCACTTACACATAAGTCAACATCACTTACACATAAGTCAACATCACTTACTCATAAGTCAACATCACTTACACATAAGTCAACATCACTTACACATAAGTCAACATCACTTACACATAAGTCAACATCACTTACACATAAGTCAACATCACTTACACATAAGTTAACATCACTTACACATAAGTCAACATCACTTACACATAAGTTAACAAACTTACACATAATTGACTTCAGCATCTTTCACTGATCCCCTTTCCTCCAAAGGAACACCTTCTAGAGGATCTCGCTCCCGGACGGCACAAGTTCGAAGCCGAACAAATTCTCCAGGTCCTGCTTTTGAACTGACACAAACGATGTCGCCGTCGTCATCACACGACAAAAAACAGCTGTTGCTTGCATTCAGCGCCACTTTTCCCTGGATGTAACAATTTGGAAAAAAAATTAACTTGTGAGTGCTGCTGCTGTTTTAGACAACTTAAAGTTATGTAACCTTTACAAGACATTGCAAAACCCAGGCAGTATTTGTTGAGGGACTTAATGGTCAACATCATGCAAGCCATATTTACTTTCCTGGACATTTCCTGGTGCCCGTTTTAAGCTGGGACGAACAGGGATCCATGAATGCTTTGGCCCCAAAGGTGCAGATATAGCCTAGCTGTACACCACAACACTATGTGCCAGCTGTCCTTTTAAGAGTGAATAAAGAAGAAGAAAAAGATCCGCTGTTGCATGATTTTAATCAGGTAACAACTGGCCTGGCACCATCAGTATGGGAACTTTACTGAAGAAGGGGACAGCACATGTAGGAATGCCCTGATTGCAATTATACAAGGCAACAGACCAACAGTAAATATCCACAAGACCCCATCAGCAGACTCAACAGAAAGCAACATACAACAATTTTCCCGTCTATGCAGGCTCAACTACCAAATGCACACAATAAAGACTGTACAGTCTCGACAGTGTGCCTGTCAGACAGGACCACAAACACCTGAACACATTCTGCAGACCTGTCCACTCTACGTACAACTTCAGAAAGAAACCTGACCTCCAAGAGCAAGGTGTACAGAGCAAGCTATGGAAAACCATGAAGGACCTGCAGCTGACATGCAAGTTCATAGAGGCAACCCACCTGATGGTCTGGCCTGAGCATATAAAACCAAATGCAAAAAAGAAGAAGAAGAAACAACATAAAGAGATTTACAACAGTCACTTCAACTTGTCAACAATTCTACCTACCTCCTGAAAAACCGGCTCAAACTGTTCCCGAGTGCTCATGGCCTCTGACCTTCCTACTACCCTTCCGTCAGCTTCAATGGCGATATACTTGCCGTAGCCGGACTTCAGGGCGATTTTTGTTTCATTGACCTTGATGACTGTAAAGACTTCAGTTGGGTCTGGTCCCTCTCCTAAGACATGCATTTTGTTATAAACGGCACAGTTATTTTACTGTTTCTCTAACATCAAAATTGGTTTCACATTAAAGACATGACATATCCACACATATAGGTGCAGATGTCACAGCCCAACTGTAAACCACAACAAAATATATCAGCCATCCTTTTTAGGGCAAATATGGAATGAACGAACAAACAAACTTGATTTTCAAAGGGTTTAGAATTTGGCAAGAAAGCCTATCTAACGTTATGCCCTACTAACCTCTTTCCATTTATACATCACTGTATTCATACATCATTTCATTCAAACAACTTTTGTTAACATTATCAACGGCAACTAAATATTAAATACAACTAAATTATACAAGTAAACATAATAAATCATAATAATTGTAATAAATCTAGGGTAAATAAATGCCAGGTTTAGAAAACTTGTATCTGTCGGGGGGCTCTGCAATCTGCCCTAAAACAAAGACAAGGCTGGTAATTACGCAACCCAGGTATTCAAAGTTTGTGACATTCTCTCTCTTTTCTTTCTTGATTATAATATTAGGGTGGACATATAGTTTTATCTGAAACCATCATTCTTGTTTGGGGGTGGGAGCTACACTGAATAATAAAGGTAGGATCATAGCTGAGGTAGCTTTCTGGGTGTTAAATTTTAGGAGTTTGTACAATCTATGAGCTGGGGTGCCTGGTTTCCTTTCTCGTCATATGTCCACGCCACAAATTCAAGAAATATTCTGCATTAGCCCTTAAAGGGTCAGGTAGTACACAGTATTGTGGTTAACAGCTAGGCTGTGATATTTGCACATTTAAAACCAACTTCAGCAAACCCTTAAGTCATCTTTAATGAGATCCTTGTCATGGGTCTATTCTCTCCCCCCCCCCCCCCTCCAACACACCCACCCAAAATGGGGACGTGGAACCCACACATAGTAAATTCAGGAAATGATATGGTACCTCCCTGAAGCTGTGACAGGCAAGCTGGCAGTGGATTAAATCTAGCTTGGAGAAACACAATAAGAGAAATCGGAACAGATCAAACGGTTTGGACATGGGTCGAGACTACCACAAGAGAGTACACCACAGAGAGTCCTGTCACTTAGACATATTGGAAGCAGAGCTAGATAGAGGCTAACAACGCAAATTATGGATAGACGGAATATCAGAAGCCGTAAATACCAGCATCTATGTAGCACATACCAAGTCTCACACTTGATGCCTTTTCAAAACCTAAAGCTGAAAAGCAGAACAAGACTAGAGAAGAAAAAAAAAGAAGATTTGGTACTTATTACCAAAGAATTTCCAGAAAATTCTAGAAATTATCTGTCATCCATTTTTAGTTTTAGAAGCTGGGTCGACTCCACAGCCATACTGGTTATACAAATTGTTGCCATTCCTGGGGATTTGTCTTCTTCTTCTACCCATAATCCTCCAGTGGAGCACAGGCCCTCACCAACTCATGCCATTTCGTTCTATCCTTTGCTAACATGCAGTTTACCCCATGTCCTGTCTATTTTTTAACTTTACTCTCTAGCTCCCTTCTCCATGTTTTTTTTTTTTCGGTCTCACTTTATTTCTATTCCACTGTGGGTTCCAGTGCAAAAACACTGATTACATTGTTCTGTTTTTTCAACGTGGCTCCTATCCAACACCTGCATCTCTTCTTCTCCTCTTGATTCACTTAAATTTGCCCAGTTCTCTCCCAAGGCTCCACATTAGTGATTCTATCATACCATTCACTTCTCTCTGGTGATTCTTCTTCTTCTTCTTGTGATCGATTTCTAATTTACACTGACAGACAAGTTGTTCTATCATATATATAGTGAAGGTTGTGTCTTACTGTGGTTTTTTTTATATGCCGTCTGGCCCAGTAATTTCCACTTCAGGATCTCTGGAGCGGGAGAGTGGCTCATCCCTCCACCCTCCTCGCTTTTTTTGTCCCATCCAGTTTCCCGCAGGAGGGGGGTTGAGACCACAACCTTCAAATGGATTACTGGGAAGAACAGGGTCCACCACGTGGAGGTGAGGTAGGCTTGAATAGGAGAGGCTTACAGATACTAAGAGTCTTGTATTGAGCATCACCCCTCCATTAGGGACACTCTATTGCGATTCTACCCAGACTATTTCCCAACATGGAAGAGTATCAAGAGAATTGTTCTGAAAAACCAGAAAATTTTTGATAAACGTAAAGGACTCTTCTGCCACCAGTAATGAAGCTGCGTGGTTTCAAGGCATGGTGTCCGCCTCGAGTGTTAGAGGTTCCAGGTTCAATCCCTGCTAAGCACTAAGATTTTTTTCAAATGGACTTGGACTTCTAGTAATTCCCCATGGTCTCTGGGTAGTGAGATCAGACGCCCCTGTGCATTGCTGCGCACGGAAAAAATCCTTTGGCAGTTAGATATCGAAAAGACGGAGTTAAAAATCTACCCAAAGTGTTTTAGGATCCTTGCCGGGGCTACAGAGCCCGCGCACTGTGCTGAGGTTCTTTGGATTCAGATTTGAGTTAGAAGAAGAATGGAGCACTTATGAGTTACTATCCGTGTGCAGTGATGTTGATCCGTTGTTCAAACCTCAAACCTCTCCCACCAGGAAGGCATCAGGTATATGACACTAGACTCCAAATAATAACAAGACCATCACACCAGTGCTGGGCCATGAGGTCAACATATGCTAGCCACCTTTACTTTCTAGGATATTCCCTGGAACTAATTTCAGACTGGGTCAACCTGGGAGCCGAGATCAATTGTTTTCAAATCCACACAAAACCGTATTTGTCTGTGTTAAGATGATGTTTCACAATTATTTTAAGTTTTAAATTGAGGGTCATCTTATTATATATAGAATGTTATAATATTTATTTCTTAATTCTGGCTATCAAAATATGGGTCATCTTATACATGGAGGTGTTTTATACATGAAAACATATGATAACTGTTTGTCCTGTGCTCAAATTAAAACCTCACAAGTGCCTATCACATATAAAACTGACCTTCATTTCTGGGTTGACCTAGGGTCAGTTCTCCATTATCCAGAGCTGTGATGTATCTGTGATCTCCCACTTCTATAGCAATGTTTGCAGCGATATCACCAAACTTCTTGATCTCCCACCAACCTCCTAGACATCATGAAAAAATAACCCAAATGAGAAGTAAAAATAGGCAGCTTAAAAAAAAAAACGAACGACAAAATAAAAGTTGCAGCCAGAAAGCCTTCATTAGCATACAAAACAGACGGAGAATAATGCAATTACAGTGAAGAATACATAAAATCACTCATCTTTATGGTGATATCTGCCACAAAATCTCCATAACAGGCTTAAACAGCAGGAGCTCTCCATCATGTGTGTCTCTGGAGTAAGATACTTTACAGGAAGTCAACCAGAAAGGAGGGTTTGGTAAGTGGGTGAAAGGTTATGACAGGGGATGTTATTCAAAACATGTCTAACTCTTTGAGTCCCAAGGAACGCGTCATACGTTCATAGATTCCTACCTAGAAGCCCAATGAACACAAGATGCACCGATTTTGTGTCTTTCTTAACTAACCCTTGGGCCTGTCATGCTAAACCCCTGGGACTCAAAGAGTTAAATGTTTAGATGTCCAACTGTATTAGACAGGAAGGCAAATTCTAGAGATAAAGCACTGAAACGCTTTATTTAAGCTTTCAGCTGAAAGTTATAATTACTCAATATCAGCTTTCACATCAAAATTATACAAATAAATGTCAGCCTTCATGTGACAATTCTTCTTCTTCTTCTTCTTTACATCCTCTTTTACCGCTTCAAGTGTCGAGTAAGATACAAGGTCCTGCTTTTCGACCAAAGACACATCGTGGTACTATAGAGTTTGATGTTATCCTTCCATAGTTTCTTAGTCTACCTCTTTCTTTACGTTCCTCTCCTCTTTTGGTATATGCCTTCAATGGTATAGCATCAGAAGGCATTCTCTCCAAGTGGGCAAACCATTTGTTTTTATGTGACAATTACAATACAAAATAGCTTTCGTTTGAAGATTATAACATTAAATATCATATGCTCAGTGAACAGTGTAATACTATATGTAATCTTCTCACTGAGATTATATAGAAATCAGCTTTCATGTACACATTCTGATTCTAAATATCAGCTTTCACATCAAGATTATAATGCTAAATATCAGCTTTCACATCAAAATTATAATGCTAAATATCAGCTTTCACATCAAGATTATAATGCTAAATATCAGCTTTCGCATCAAGATTATAATGCTAAATATCAGCTTTCGCATCAAGAATAGAATGCTAAATATCAGCTTTCATGTCAGCAAAAGTACAGAAGTCAAGAACCCTTCTCCACACCTTCAGGCATATTGGGCATACACAGCTAGACCTATATTTTATTGACCAACTGACACTCAGTGGGTGATATGGTCAATATCAGACAGGCTACCTTTACTTTCCAGGACTGTACCTAGAACCCATTTAAGCTGGGTCGACCTGGGAGCCAAAGTCCTTTTTTGAAAACAGTCTGGCTTCATCAGGACCTGAATCCATGACCTTCGGATCTGCGGAAGAGCCGCTACATCACGGCAGCTCCCCAGCTTTCATGTGGAAATAAAGAAACAAATACTTAATACATTTCATTTTGAGACTGTTGGATTCTATACTGGTCTATAAAAAATAGGTCTAGCCCTATATGCCCTATAAAGGCGTGGAAAAGGGTCTTTTTTTTCAAAGGCTGACTCCCACTGTAGAAAGATAGTACAACACAACTGGCAATGATCCGCGGGCCACTTGCTAGGCCTCTCGGGCCAGATTTGGTCCGCAGGCCGCTAGGTGATTAGCACTGGCATGGAATATGTGAAACAATCACAATCCCAGAAAGGCCACACAAACTACAGAAACTAATTTTGTAAAGTTGTAGGTAACAATTTCATGATCCTCAAGTACTTGTACATGGTTTCTACAATGAGTGCTGAAAAAATCCAGTTCTTATGGTTTTTCGGACATTTGTATCACAGTCCAACTGCGGCAGAGATTGGCGCTATTCCCATAGACAACGGTGGCTGCTTTGTAGCCAGCATTTGATTGCATAGCATTTTTTTTTTTTGGGGGGGGGGGGGGGGGGGGGGGGGGGGGGGGGGGGGGGGGGCGCGAGGGAGTGTGAAGTTAAATAAATAACAAATGTCTCTGTATGCATTCCAGGGCCCCATTGGGGCAGAGGGGTGACAATATATCCACTGCCCCGCCACAAGCACGTAGTGTCTACCTAATTAAGGGTACTTCCTTTGGAGGAGTGCATCTACCTGAAAGGGCAAGGAACTAATAGTCTGCATACAAATAGGCCAGATCTGTAAAATGGCTGCATATGCAGGACTAGAACAGGACTGGAGTTCAGAATTAGATGAACAACCAGAACTTTCTAGCCAAGTTTACAGCCAGTCAGCATTAAGAAAAAGACTAACATTTTTATAAATGCATTTATTACCATGTTTGGCTGTGTCGCTTTTGTCTTTGTCCTGGATCTCGGAGGCAGAAGGGGTTCCGTCCTCATGCTTCCTTTTGTGACGCTTTTCTTTCTTTGATCTGAGAAATTAAACATATATATATATACACACACACGCACGTGCTCACACACACATACTGCACATGTGCAAAGACAAACACGTGATCATTCCCCATTATTATGAACATCATCCTTTGCCTGCATAGTGGAAGGCTATTTTGTTTCTATACACCAAGAAAACTGGTTGTCTGCCTGCTCAATTAATGAAGTCATCCAGTATATAATATATGTGCCTGGATACAAGGGGCCCATTGGGTTGCCAACGCCTGCACCATTTCTGAGCAGCATCAGAACTGGTCCTATTTTGGAGTTTCATATATATGATCCATCTCTACAAATTTTCAACTTCTCTAGGCTGCACACACTTGCACTAACTTTTGTTTATGCAAATTCTATTTTTTTTACAGCACCAATCTGCACTTTATTTCCATTTACCCAAATATAGCTACTGGGATACTGCTTCTTCTACCCGGGAGTTATAAAACTCAAATTCTGGAACAAGACAAGACCAGAAGTCCATAAACAAAACTTTCTGCCTGAGTTTACAGCTGGTTTATACTAAAATGAAGAAAGAGAAATCTTGCCTTTATTGGTCTTGGAATCAAATTGAGAGGCACTAGCTATGAGCTGAACAGCACATAATGCCTTTGAATACAAATGTTATAGATGGGTTCTAAGAATATCATGGGTAAAGAAAAGCACAAATGCATCCATACTTCAAGAACTGAAAACTGGAGAAGGTTAGCTATTAAAGACAATAAAACAGACAATTGAAATATTTGGTTCACTTGAAAAGTCATGAAAGTTTAGAGAGAACAATAATGGAGGGGTATATGCCTGGAAAGAGAGGAAAAGGAAGGTCAAAGAAAAGATGGGTGCAGGATGTGGCGGATGATCTCCAGATGGGTGTATCGGACGCTGGACATCTTGCTTGTGATCTAAAAGTTTTCTGGAGGGTTGTTATTGGAGCAAGGTTCTGCAAAGGACATGCTACTGACTGGGCTACGAGTTATAAACCCTTGTCAATAGGTGTAGACAAGGGTGCCACAGGGGACCTTCAATGGACATTTTTGCATGTCAGCGATTCTTCTTGTGGTCTTGCTGGTCACACTCTCCATCAACATGGGTTAGGATTCTCATGCCTTCCTCTAACACAGCGGTTCTCAACATGTGGGTTGCGACCCCTTTGAGGGTCAAATGACCCCTTTCATAGACCATCAAAAAACATATTCAATGAAGTTAAGAAGTAGCAACGAAAATAATTTTATGGTTGGGGGGGGTCACAGCATTAGGAAGGTTGAGAACCACTGCTCTAGCATAATATAACACTATCATCTGAAAAGATGGAAAGTTGCTAATAAATGGGGAGGGGGAATGGTGTTACTTTACTTACTTTTTATGTTTGTGGCCCTTGAGATTTAATTTACCCCCTTTCACCAATGCATACGAGTCAGCCATGGATTGTGTATAAACTGCTTCACTGTTGACTGTCTACCTGTTTTAAATGGTTTTTAAAAAAAAAAGTTAGTTGCGTGACCTTTACAGGGTGTTACAGAACCAAACCCCATATTTTTTGGCTGTTGTGGGTTTTCTAGGCAGATTTTACGCTCAGCAGTTTGACACCGCTTCTGAAAGGTCAGATTGAAAACAATCCAATACAAATCGTCTGCAGCTGGGATCAAACCCGTCACCCTGGCAATATGAAGCGCGTTTGCAACACCTAAGCCACAGATGCCAACTTGAGTTGAATGGTAACTAAAAAAATTGACAAGGACTGTTGGAATTGAATTTTCTAAGAAATAATAAAAGATTAAAAATAATCTGTGCTAATCAAGGACTAATAATAATGCACCCCCGCTGGGACCAACATTTTCATTTCGTTAACTGAGGGTTCTTTTCAACTTTTTCTGTCCCAGTATGAGTTACAACAGACACCTTGAAGGAGAACCCATCGCTATGGAATTTCAAAACTATAGAACTTTTAAAACACACCAGTTAGCTGAGTGGTCTCAAGGTATGGCATCCGCCTCGAGTGCTGGAGGTCCCGGTGAAGGCTGGGATTTTTTCATGTGGACTTCTAGTAATTTCCCCTGATCTCTGGGTAGTCAGATGGGACGCCTAGATGTATTGTTACACGTGCAGAAAATCCCTTGGCAGCTGGAAATCAAAAAGAGTAGCCTAACAGCTCTGCCCGGGCAAAATTTTGAGTTAAAAATCTACCCACATGTTTTGCTGTCTCCGAATTGCGTCTGTAAGCTGACTGTTAACAATTTACCAAACGGTTTGTAAACGTTACTCAATATCACTTAAATTAAGAAGTTAACAGTTGGGAGTAATTATCTTTTAAATTCTGCATTCATTTTTACATAACAAGATTTTACTGAAGTTAGATATGCTGCATTAAAATGTTTACAAAGTAAAACTAGAGAGTAAAACTAAAAGCATAATACATAGTGATAATGGCTTATTTGTTATGCCAGTTGCATTTGCCTAATGAAATGGTTTGAGTTTGAAAGTTATAAGCTCCCTGGGGATCACTGCTAGGTCTATGGAGGTTGTGCTTTGGGCGTCGTTCTTGACAGGTGGCTAGCCATTGTGCAGAACGAATGAACGAACTTTATTTTTAAAAGGTTAAGAGAAAGATCAAGCCATATGATGGGGTAAAACCAAGTGCAATGAATTGGATTTTTATCATAACTAACTCATTCTGATTCTGGGCTCTCCTTTAAATAATGGTCGCTAGCTGGAAGGCGATGGCCGCTTAGTTGGAGTTTACTCCCCTGGCTGCAGTGCAATTACAGAGTGGAAAAGAGGGAACGAAACAAATGACATAATTACCTGTCATCCTAGGGTTAGGGTTTGGGGTAGGGTTTGGGTTAGGGGTAGGCTTAGGGTAGGGTAAGGGGGTAGGGTTTGGGGTAGGGGTAACATATGTAGCGTCGAGTACTTACCCATCGCTATATGTTAAAAGTTAAGGGTTAGGGTTAGGGAAAAACGACCCGGTGTGAACGCTGCACCGAGTATGACAACGCCACGAGTATCTGTCGCAGCAGTCCTGCCGAGGTGCTAAGGACATAGGACGGTTGCACGAGGTAGACACCTGCATGTTCCGTATAAGTCTATGTTCAGCTAGCCACAGCAACCACGCAAACTTATCGCTCATTAAGGCATACAGATCTGCAGGAGTCACGTCGTGGCAACTAAGTCGTGCGTTGCAAGAACGCGGTTGCTAGGGACCACAGATCCGGAAATTTGCTATCTTTTCGACAATTTCCGTTACCATAGAAACCGTTTAAAACTTGTTTCGGAAATGTCGGCTGGGGTTTCGGGATGGGTCCTAATCTCTCATGAAATTTTGCCATTGGTGTGATTTTCACCCACTCTAAATAGCTGAAAACGGCGGGAAGGAACCCGATTAACAGCGCATGTCTACGACAGCCGGACATTCTCTGTTTTTCTGTTAGTCTATCAGTTTGATTGAAAATAGCGGTAAATTCGAGGTTGGCTTTAGGCTTAAACATTACCAGTTGTGGTAATGCTAGTTACAATTGAATTCTCCGTCCAATTTTACATTTGCATATTAAATTTTTTTTTTCCCGACTCTGGCTGTTTAGATTTACAATGACATTTTTTAGGCAATCGCATGCGGCTGAGTGAGCTGAGTCTCACTGCCTGCCATCTTGTCCAATGACAGTCCAATGTCAACAAAGCCGATACAGAACTGCGCAGTAGGTTGCGCAGTAAAAAACTTCTTGTTTCTGGGTCACAAGTTTTAGCGGCTGTTTCTTACATCTCATCTCCACAAAAACCTACATATCTCAGCTCAGAAATGACATACAAGCCTAAATGAGGTACCATTGGAAAGAGATTGTTTACAGCTATCTAACTGTGCTGGTTTTATTGGTGTAGAGGGCATTTTAAAAATTTGACTGAAGTAGCTACGGTTGCTAATGTGAGTCGCAGCTCGTGGTCTACGGTCTACCAGCCATGTTGACCTCACTTGGTTTTTTGATTCGTGACTTGTCCACTCCGTACTTGCACTGCAGCCAGGGGAGTGAACTCCGACTAAGCGGCCGTCGCCGTCCAACTTACCAACTAGCGACCGTTATATTATTTAAAGGAGAACCCTGATTCATAGACTGAAGAATTGACTAGTTAACGGAAGAAGTGTAAAATAGCATAAGTCGTAGCTATAATACTACTAGGTGTAAATAAGTATTTTCGGTTATACAATAAACAAGAATTGGTGATTTCAAAGGAAAGACCTCAACCTTTAAAAACCGCTACCATTAATTTTAATTCCTAATCCAAATTGTTCTGTCGATATTATTGTTGGCTCGGTTACTGTGTTCTTTCAAGTTCCGCTAATCATGTCAGAACAATTACAGAGTTGTCTGTCCCATTTGTCAAAGTGGATATATGATGTGCGCCGAGTAAATCCAGAGGACCCTTTTCTACGCCTTTAAAAGTATTGGGCATATAGGGCTAGACCTATATTTTATAGACCAATTGGCACTTGGTGGGTGATTTCGCCAACATCCCTCCGACCGCTTTACTTCCTAAGACTTTCTTGGTACATTTAAGCCTGAATCTACCTGGAAGCCTACGACCTTTCGATCCGCAGGCGAGTTTCAAGCCACTACACTACGGTCGCTGTTATGACGTGTACTATAATGTCCCTTGACTCTCTTCCTCGAGCCTACATTATCTTCACGTGATGGACCATGCTCTCCCCAATAATTCAACGAAAGGTTTTGGTTCAATCCCAGCATGAAACTGTTTGGGATATCATCATATCATCATGTAGCAGATCCTTTGCAGAACGTCGCTCTCATCACGGTCTGCCTGAAAGAAACTCGGTCTCTCACCAGCTGTCCCGTCTCATGCCCTTTCATACTCAAGGAGTCCTGTGCCCATCTTCGTGTTGGTCGGCCCCTGCCCCTCCTTCCTGATACCACGCCTTCTGCTATTATTTTTTTTCTAATCCGATGTGACCAAAATATTTCTGCTTCCGAGGCAGGATGCTGTTTATTAGCCAGTCTTCCTTGATATTCAGATCTTTCAAAATGTCAGTGTTTCTCGCCTTCTTTGTCCAAGATATTCTGAGAATCTTTCTATAGCATTTCAGCTCAAAAGCCCTTATTCTCTTTCTTAAGGACTGAGAGGTAGTCCACAACTTACATCTGTATGTTGCTACAGGGAAGATGCATGCTCTAAAAATTCTAGTTTTGATCTCCTTGCTGGTGCTTAACCATAAACTTGTAATGCTGTTTAATCTTTGCATTGCTATGGCCATCCTCCTTTTAATTTCTGTCAAACAGTCTCCATTGCTATTGATTATAGAGCCTAGATATTCAAAGTTTATGACATGTTCAATTCTTCATTATTTATTGTTATTTTTGGGTGACAGCCAGTTTTATCTGATAACTCTATTCCTTACGTCCTTCTTAGGACGTTATTTTTTGTTATTTGAAGCCCCACTCTGGCTTTTGCCAGGGGCCGCCATATAGGCAGGTCATCATTATGGCCAAATGTCTGAAAGCGATTTCTGGGACCTCTTCACGGTGATCCTCATCCGCATGGTGGCACTTTGTGTCATCGGGTGTTTATCGCTTGTGTGATGTCCTGGTGGGGTAAAAAGCCAATCCAATCCAATTTTATCTGAGCACACCATCCTGACTTCCTTTAAATTCAAGAACAGATTTAGATCTTCACTGTGCTTTTGGACAGACAATATTAAATTGTATATTTTCTTTATGCTGTTCGAAAGGAGGACTGTGTCATCTGTGGTTGGGATAACAACACGTTCCGTCGGTCAGTTACTGGGTTAAGTGCATAGTGCAACACTGTGAGCGATAGTTTTCATGGGGAATGCTTATCGACTGACTGACTTTCTACCCCACAAGGACATCACACAAGCGATAAACACCCGATGACACAATATGCCGCCATGTGGGTGAGGATCACCGTGGAGAGGTCCCAGAAACAGCGTTCAGCCTTTAGGCCATATTTATGGCCAGGCTATATTGCGGCCCCTGGCAAGAGCCAGAGTAGGGCTTCAAATGATGAAAATTTTCATCCTTAAAAGGACGGGAAATTAGTTTTAATGTTGCTTATCGTAGCTCATGCATTTTAAAATCCCCTTGGCTTTTTGTTTCTTTAAGAGTTTAAAATACAAAAAATTAATTAATTATTAATTAATAATTATACTAAATTATTAATAATAATAAACAATTATAGTTAATAGAAAAACACAATTCTTGTTAAAGGTGCTTTAGCTCTTCCTCCCGTATTTAATTACATTTTTAAAGCTGGGGAAAAGGACGTTGGTGTACTGGAAGATGATCAACTGTCGAGCTTATTAATAACACAGAACCAACGCCTTCTCTAATAAATAGAAAAGGCCGTGCACAGAACACATAAGTATGTTTCCTGTGTGGGTTTCGGGGCCCCATCGT